GAATGAAATTACTTCCTTGTTTAAACAATCCAATTACTACACTTGTTTGTGAATATTTTGATTTCTGAATTAAAAGCCATAGCAAAGATGAAGAAGAATAGTATTTCATTACACTTTTTTTTTATGCAGCATACTGGATATACCCCCCCCCCCCACATGCACATACACATTGACACCGCCTTTTTTTTTTTGGCTTCCAAAATGTCTCAAAAATACATCCCAGGTGTTATATACAAAATTGAGGCATCTGGTTTGCTATAAGTTTGCCTAGTCTAGCTCTGTAATATTACAATATCGTAATTCTGTAAGTTATCTTCTGCATGACGTTCTGCCATTCTCTGCGATTAATAATGGCCCATTTCATTTTGATTGAAAGGAAGAAAAAGATATAACAGATGCTATTATTTGGGGAATGAAGGGAGGCTTTTAGTGAGAAAAACTGCATACATAATAAGAAAAAGAGAGAGTAGGAAGGAAGGTGATAATGCTGTCATGTATTTACTGTCTGCTTCAGTGAAAAGAAAAATTTTCATTTGTATTCTCTTTAAATAATGATCTGCATTCATACTTATGACTGCTATTGTAATATTTTGTTACAGTTGTTAAGCTCAAATATTTGACAAGGCAATAGAATTTCTATAGATATTTTATTGTCATAGAACTATTTATGTGTTTATTCAATCATTAACTTAAAAATTGATTCATCAGAAAATTCAAACTGGAAGTATTTTTTCATTTCATTCCAAGCAAGGCAATAAAGCTACTAAGGTGCAAGTAGTTACTAAGTGTAAGAGAATGAGTGTTGTAGCATACCTATGGACAATAATGGGTATGTCCCCATTTACATAAATACAGTAGTAAATACTGTATATTGGTCTGCATTTGGAGATTCATTGTGGAATTCACTTGACTCATTTCTAGCTGTTGACTACTACTACTACTATGCACCGTTGGCGAATCTTATACATGTTGTTCGTGTCCTAAGTATTATCGTTTGTTACCAACCTTTGTGGGATTATTCTATTCAGTAACCTTCCCTAGGTTACAACAATTAGAAAAAAAAAACATTATTAATGAGAGATTATAATAAAAGAACAGGAATTGAGAAAACAGAAGATAATGATTGATATTGCATTTAAAGTTTTGAAGATCAAATTTAACTGGAAAGTAAGAAGCCAGTGAGAGAAGAAACTATCAGCATAGAACTTGCAGTTACATCTAGCCATTCCAATTGTAAAAGGATTGGACCTTGCTGCTAATCAAGTTCTGCACTGTACCAAAGAGGAAAGCTCATCAGAACAATCATTATGATAGTATCTACAAAAGACATAGAAAAACTGTTATGGTGGTGAGAAAGTCACTTAAGGTGTGATGCCAGATCAGGACCAATAACATTGCAAATTCCTTTATCAAGAACTTCTAAATATATAGCAGAATCACCAGACAAGGTGTGGCAGCAATATTCAATGAAATGAATGTTAGACTTATGTGTAAAATAGATTCTGTTGAAGAATTCTCTAGCATGACACAGGAAACTGACTTTTCTAGCAGCAGATTTAGCAATTGATTCAATATAGTTTTCCCACTTCATGTCAGTTGAAAATATTAGCCCAAGAAGGTGGGATGAGTTAGTCAACTGAAAGTTAGTATTAAGTATGCATCCTTACTTCATGCTTAAAATATGACCTTAATGAGAGTTAGAAAATGAAAATATTTCCCCTAAGTTGAGTGGGATTGAACCTTAATATGTGACTGTTATTACATTTGTGAAGTCTTTCCTTGGGAGGATGTCTTAAGATGATGTTACATGCAGAATTGAATGTGATCGGAACATTATCTTTGTTGTATAGAATATGTACAAAACCTGTATATAGCAGATGTTTGTAGAATAACTGGGGATCTTTTAAATTTACATCTTTTGAACTTGAATGCTCGTAAATCTTATACAAGCATTGTAATTATGGCCTTTCAAATATTAGAACAGCAAATGATCTCAAATATTCAAAATTTGAATATTGATTTATTTTATGTGGCTGTGTTGTGTACAAGTTTGTTGTTTGCTTATAAAAGTTTTGTGCTTCCTAATGTTGTGTTAAAAAAAAATCTGTGCTTGAAATATGCTTAATTTCTAATCTAAGCTTTGTCATTCTGATAAGCTTCAGGCAAAGAAAAAAAAAAAGCAACATAATGCATTCATCTAACTGTAGAAAATGCTTAAAAATAATGAAAGCTTTAATAATAAAAGCCTTAATAATAAAAGAATGAAATTAAACTCTGAATAATTTTAATGTGTTGACTGTTTTTTGGGGAATTAAAAAATTTCTATTGTTAAAAAAAAAAAATATCACATTCTACATATTCAGACAATCAGAAACAGCATAATGGCTAATAGATTGGCCAAAAGTTCTTGGATCCAAAGATCATTAGGACAGTTCTTACACAATCTGTGTGCAAGAAAGAAATCTCTTGTATGAATGCAAGAAAAATATAATAGAAAGTTTAATTGTAGTGTTTTGTTTGTTTGTCCTCTTCTTATATAAAAGAGAGATTGCTGCCCAAATACATGAATATATATCTTTAAATACAATATAATGCATCATATTATATATATATATATATATATATATATACACGCTTTTTTTTTTTTTTTTTTTTTGTGCAAAATTTTGACATGATGCACAGAAATCAAGATTCCATTCATGTCCACATGCAAAAAGCTACCATACTGAAAACTACAGAGACACCACCCCCTAAACAATGGCAAGAGAGTCCACAGTAAGAACTAAATTCTAACTATCTATTGTATCTTAGTTATTACTAAGAAGCACACACGCACTCATACTCTTTCACACAAATGATGACCCACTTGTCCAAATTCAAGTTATATTTTGGAAAAGAAAAAAGAAACATATAACGTTTTATCATTTCTCACATACATACATAAATTGTATTTATTTCTTCTTAATTGCCCTTAAAAAGGAAATAAAATACAGTTAAACTTGTAAAACGAATATCCAACATGACTAATGTTGTCCGTAACTCATGTCTGTCTGTCATAATTTTTATTTAACTAAAGTTCTTTTTTTCTTTCCAAAAACAAATAGAACTTGAATTTGGCGCAGGTGGGCCATTGTTATTTTGCATACTTCCCCCTCAATTGTTACGCAGAAAAAAAAAATTGTACTTGGATTAAACAAAAATTACTTACAATATAATACATATTACTTATAATACATTCCTTTTTGCACTCAATTTTGATGGCAAGAGTACACTTGTGTGTGTTTGTATATATATATATATATATATATATATATATATATATATATACTTACAACATAGGATTTAACTTTAATTTCACCAATGCCAGCCTTATCAAAAAAGAACATAACTCTTTAAGGAGAAAATATTATGAAAATATATTTATAACATTACCATCTATTAACACGCACATTTAAAAAAAACTACATCACCATTTTTCTATAGACCCATTATTCATGAATGTAACTTAACTCTTCCAAATACATAAAAATCAATATTTATACAAAATATGCACAAGATATACTTTAATGAAAAATTGTTCAAAATATCCTACAGTGTCTCACTAACTTTTTACATACTTTAACACCCAGAATATTTTCTTAGACTTATTTGAATATTATCTGTTACTTCCTTACACTTGACACATATCCAATCAAAACATACTACTGCATCTTACTTTTACACACTTTAGTGTTGAGAATGTTTGCCACATATATTTAAATATTATCTGTTACTTCGTTACACATAATACGTATCTAAGCAATAAGAAATAGCCAAACACAACATTCCATTAGTCTGAGTCTGCTTTTTATCTTTTTTATCTTGATCTCTGGTGAAACTTTAATAAAGTGAAACATGTTAGATTAAGATCTGTTTCCTACTTGCTCTTTTTCCTATCATTTTGTTGATCCCTATCCATATATATATATATATATATATATATATATATATATATATATATATATATATATATATATATAATGTGTGTGTGTATGTATATAAAATGACAAAAGAAAAATTTTTCTTTACCAAGCCATTCCTTATCAAGGAAAATGCAGATTTTATTTTGTAACTTGTATTTATACACAGAAGAGAACTGGAGGAAAAATATAGTTAAGTTTTCAAATTTGAGAATAGTCTAAAATATTCTTAAAGCTTGTTGTGTAAAGAAAGGTAAACTATAGAGGATGCTAAGTGATGTAATATATAGTCTAGTAAATGTTGTTGAATTTGTATTATTTAATTATTTTTTTTAATGTAATTATTATTTTACTCTGTTTGGTAATGAATATTTTTTTCCTTTTGTCTTTTATTTATATTGTCATACACACACACACACATACTGGGTGTAACAGCAACATTGTCCAATTGTTAGATTAGGCTTTGAACTGTTGTATCTTAGAAATGATTAAAGATATCTTACTGGAATTCTCCAAGATTTTTATAACACTAGCGGACTCTGAACAATAAAAATGTATTTAGCTCTAAATTGAAATGATGAGCCCTCTTGCTATTGTAACCTCCTGATCCAATTTTCCTCTCTATTGTTCCCTCTCATTTAAACTTATTCACCATTCTTTTGATGGTTTTTTAATGGACTTTGAAGATGGAATCCAGAGTATGAATGTTCGTACCATTACTGAAAGCCTGAAAGATCTTTTTCCTCTCACCATTGCTCAGTTGGGAAGACATAGTGTAGCTGACACAAAATGATTTTAACCTGTTCTCTTTTTAGCTGAATAACTCGGTGATTTTTACAACAAATGGTGTCAAGATGGCTAAATGTCTTATCTGAGAACTTGGAAAAAAAGAAACTCAGTAGAGTGGTTTTTCTTTTTTTTTTCTCCTTCTTAGATATTAAACATTTTCTGGGGTGGACAATTATCTCATGAAGTTACATGATTTGGAGAATTTTGTTGTTACACCTGCTGTAAATAAGCGCACACTACGTCAGGTCTTATGGCTATATTACATTGAAACACCTGTTCCCATATGATTACTGAAGTTAAGAAACATTAAACCAGGTCAGTACCTAGATGGGTGACAGCTTGGGAATACCGGGTGCTGTAAGCTTGGATGTGTGGGTGGTGTAATAGATCATGGCTTGGAATTGTTAATCAGAGAACAGTTCCAATTCTCATTGGGTATGTTATATTCACTTAAGTGCCAATACTCTTGGAAAGGTATGAATCCGGCGCTTGTCCCCCCACTATGGGTTAATTAGTAAGACTCTTATCACTAAATCATTATCTCCCAAAAACAAAAATTCTTACAATCTAAAAATATTTTCTAGCTTTAAATAACTTGCAAATTGTTGATAAGCCATAGAAAATGAATCAGTCAACTAAACTACAACAAACCAAGGTATTAGTATGACCTGCACTTATGACAAAACCAGGCAAATGAATGTACTTAAAGTGACAGAAGTAAATAAAAAACCCAAAGACCAATAAAGAAAGGGACCTCCCAGAAAAAAAAAGCACAAAAAAGGAAACCTTGACAGAAAAGAAAAGGCAAACTCTTGAACAGGCACTTTCCTGTGCAATTATAGAAAGTGCTCAATGTGCAAAAACTGAGCAAATGGCTGGCCATCAAAACTGCACAAAAAAGTGACCTAGTTCAAATCACTACTCGGTTTCTTGCAAACATCAGGCAACCAGAACTGTAGAGTTTTGGATGTGTTAATTATGTAATGGATAGTTGTGTGGAATGAGAAGTCGGAAAACTGAATTTAAATTTAATTTGAGCTCCTTGCATTCACTTACATGCAAATATCTTTGGGAAAGTGATGGATCCATCTCCTCCCCTCTTATAGGTTAAATACTAGAACTTGTCTCCAGAAAAATCATTGTTTTCTCTCCAGAAATTGTTAATGCCAAAAAAATTGTTAAAATCTAAAATAACCTTTGACTTTAAATAATCTACAAACTGTTGATAAATCATAAACGTATCAATCAATCAACAATATATTAGTAAATAGAATGGACAGCAGTTTCTCCTAGGTACCCTCATTTTGGTTTCGATAGTGTACTCAGCAGTGCAGACTAAACTACCATGTATACTTGTGTATCATGCGACCTTTGAAGACCTAATTTTGAAGCTAATTTGACTGCAGTAAATGGATATATAGTTTGGTCAGCGATGTTGTCAGGGCCAGCAGTATATATGCTAATTTTATATCTCGAGTATAATGTGATCCCTTTAAAATTAACTTCAAAATTAGGTCTTCAAAGGTCACATGATATGTGAGTATATACGGTATATTAGTTTTTGTTTGTTCTTATGTTAATGCATTAGTGTGTATGTTTATACATATACCCATATAAATTTATATGTATATATGTCAGTCTCTCTCTCTCTCTCTCTCTCTCTCTATATATATATATATATATATATATATATATAAATTATAGTCTTAAGGTGTGCTATATTTATGGAATAAAGTGCTCAATATTAGAGATAGAGCGTGTGTAAATATAAAAGTGAACATAGAAGTCAACACTTAGAGGCAACAGTCTGTTTCATGCTATATGCAATCGTCAGGCCACATATGCTGTTATTTTTCTCAGCTATTTATATATATACGGGTTAGTGGTGCATTGTGGGTATTCTATTATTAACCGCCATAATAGATGTCTTTCCTTTATCTATATTAATCTGAAATGTACTCCTGGTCACTTCACAAAATCTCTTGCCCACACTCCACCACAAAATAATGAGCTGTATTTTCTTTCTTTGCACAAACCATTTTGAACTTTAAGTTTCTCAGGCTTTGGTTGGGATACACTTTATTATCTCCAGTTAAGAATTTAGGTTTTACTTTGAGCTCTGACCATTGAATTGGATGCATGGGTGGTGTAATGGGTAGTGGCTTGGAATGAGGAAATGGAGAGCAGAATTCAAATTCCAGTTGGGTTTGTTGCATTCACTTTCACACAAATACTTTTGGGAAAGGTATGAATCTAACCCCTCCTTCTAGCTATGTGTTAAATAGTAGAACTTGTATCTTTAAAAAAAACACATTGTTATTCTCAACAAGTTGTCAATGCAAATTTTACTTGCAGCCCCCACCCCCTCGCAAAGTATTATTTTTACAATCCAAATATGTTTCAGCTTTAAATAAACCCCAAAAGATTGATAAGCCGTAAAAAAAAAAAAGCAATTGGTTAATGTGGCATTACTAAGGAGGCACACTAGAGTAATGGATTGTGGCATGGATTGAGAAATCTGAGAGCTGGGTTCTAATTTCAGTCAAGTACACACTAATACCCTTGGGAAAGGTATGAATCCAATTCTTCAAAAATCCCAACACCTCACCCCCCCATCTATGAGTAAGTTCGAAACTGTAATGCACATACTATACAGCTAAGGAAAGGATTGTTCGTATTGACTCCATGATCACAACTACGGTCAACTCCTTTTTTTTTCTTTTCTCCAATATGGCATCCATTATAAAGAATCTTTGTTGTTTGGTATAGTAATTGCTCTGGAGATGGCCTGATACTTAAGAATTTGCCAAGCATAACTAGATTCTGCTAAAATTACCTGATGCTAATGAAAAAAAAATCCCACAAAGGTGTACTCTCTATAAAATCATCATAAATAAACTTGATCTTCCTTCTTATTAAATGGCCATAATTTTTTTCTTGTGTTTGCATCTCTAAACCAGCTAAAATGTACTACATTCTGAGAGCATCTTCTCATTTTCTGTCTATTGCCTACATACCCATATAATATATAAGCTGCTAAGGTAACATGTTGTATATTGCAATGATTTGGTTGGGGTGGGATATGGGGGCAGATGGAGTGTTGATGAATTTGAAGCATTTCCCAGGTCTTCACAAATATCCTGAAAACACTACACCAGGAAATAAAGAACCTTATTTTCTAGTAATTTTTATTCCTTCTTTGAGCAAGCCATTTTGAAACCTTTTATTCATGCACCTCATAAACAGGTGTTCTTTGTTTTTTTTTTTTTTTTTTTTTTCTTTGGTTTGTGAATTTGTTTTTGTACTCTGAGATTTAACCTCTTTTGAATCCTGAAATGATGAGAATGGATCTCCCATCCTGTTGTTCATGACTCTGGTTGGTTTACCCGCCCGCTTGGGTATATGTACTTTACCAGCTGCTCTTGTTCAAAGTGTCAACCACCAAGTCGATCTGGTGTCCTCTTTGAAGCAACTTACTGACAATTTTTTTTGGGTGGGGGGGCAGTATAAGAATTTCTTTGAAGATGAGCTGGTATGAAAGTTGATAAAATCAGACATAGTAATCTCTACCATATGGTAATGAATGGACACTTGATAGCTATGCAAGATCTTTCTTCCTGCCAGCTAACGGCCTGATGATGATGATGTCATGTCAGTGTAAGATTGGGCATTTCCTTACTTGAATGTCAAGTGTCCATTCAGATCCATTCCGGAATCTGTCTTTTAAGTAGAATTTGAATAAGTTGCAGCAGGTACATTGTGTTCTTATTTAGCATCTGTTCTGTTAGTCATGTATTTGTCTTAGTATATATTTTACTTTTTATTTATTTATTTGTTTTTTATTATTTCACCCCAAGCAAGACTTAATAAGAAAGAAAGAAGGATGGCAATAACTCTTTCATGTGTTTAACATCTACTTCAGTGAAATGAAAAACTTTATCAATTTTTTTAATTTTCATTTGTACCCTCTTACTTTTTTAAATAATGACCTTTATTCAAACTTATGATATTGCAATATTCAGTTGAAGTTGTTAAGCTCAAATATTTAATGAAGTAATAGAGGAATTTTCACATGAATTTTATAATTGTAGAACTTGCAAGGAGGTTATTCTGTCATTAACTTAAGAATTAGGATTCATCAGGAAACTTAAAAAAACATGAATTTTTTTTCTATATCATTCTACTCCAAGCAACGCAATAAAGCCACTAAGGTTACTAAGTGTGATTCAAAAAAAAAAAAAAAGCAAAAAGAACAATAAAAGAGGAGGAATTAAGAAGATAGAAGATAATGATTGAGATTGCATTTAAAGTTCCACAAGTGAAAAGGGCTATAGAAGAAACTATTAGCATAAAATTTATGGCTACATCTCGACATTTCTTCATAAAAACAATTTTAAGGAACATTGCCAAATACACTGAAACTTCTTCATACATTATATAATGTATTTAGAGATTCTTGATAAGATCAAAAGAAACTGCAATGTTATTGATCTTGACCTGGCATTTCGAAACTTTATCCAATTTCTCACTGTTGTAACATAGCTTCCCTATGTGTTTTCTATAAATATTTTCATGGTAATTGCTCTGATGAGCTTTTCTCTTTGGCACCTCAACTTTATGTATTTAAGTGCATTACTAGATTGGCAGCTAAGTCTCACCATTTTAGCTGAAATGGTTAGATCTAACTATAAGTTCTATGCTAATAATTTTTTTTTTTTTTTTTCACACTTCTCGTTTGTGGAACTCCCTTTTAGCTTCTTGTTTTTCAGCCAACTTTTGATCTTCAAAAATGTAAATGCAGTATCAATGATTATTTTCTGTCTTCTTAATTCCTGTTCTTTTATTATTCTCTCTTCTCAATAATGTTTTTCTTTTTCTCATATCCTCTCACACTCAGTAATCCTTTGTGCCTTACTGACTTTATTGCCTTGCTTGGGATGAAATGATTAATTCTTCCCTCCTCCTCCTCCTCCTTTTACTACTCCTCCTCCTCCTTTTACTCCTCCTCCTCCTTTTACTACTCCTACTTTTACTACCCCTCCCCCTCCTCCTACCACTCCTCCTCCCCTCCCCCTCCTACTACTACTACCCTCCCCTCCTACTCTTACTTCTCCCCCCTCCTCTCCTCCTCCTCCTTTTACTATTATTATTATGATGATGATAGTGTGTCACACTCTTGGATACTTAAGACTTTGGGAATGTGGAAAACTACATTATACTGGACTCACACCAGAGGAACTGCCATTTCCAACCGACTGAATATCAATCAGACGAGTAATCTTTCAAGGAGACCCCCCTGTCACCCCTTTATGCATGAACTAAACAATAATAGCCATGGTTACAAACTAAACAAGAAAGTACT